CTCTTGAAAACATCTATGACTTGTCTTTGTAGATTCTCAAAGGATTCTTGAAGTTGAGAAAAAACTAAATCATGAGAAGCTTCAAGTTTAGAGTGTTTTACAACTTTTTTCTTTCCTTTGTTTGCCATATACCAAAGCTTGGCCGATTCCTCACTTGAAGTAGAGCTATCATCACTTGAGGAACCACTTTCGCTTTCCCAAACGGCATAAGCTCTTCTACCTTTTCTAGACGTTTTGTGTCGGCCTCTTTCATTATTGATTTTTGGACACTCCGGTTTAAAGTGATCGGGTTTACCACAGTTGTAACACGTACTTTGTGACTTACCATTTTTGCTCTCATCTTCTTCTTTTGAGGAACTTTATAACCTTCTTGATTTATCGTGATACTTGTTGAGATATTTGTCGCCACGTTTCAACTTGTATTTATTGACTCATTTTATGAACAATCTCATATCTTCTTCATCGAATTCGTTTTCATCTTTAGGTTCACTATCCCTTTGCTCATCTTGAGAAGGCCTTGTCTTTATAACAATGGACTTCTTCCCTTCTTCTTTGTCCTTCTCTTTCTCACTCTTCGATCGTTTTTCGTACTCCTTCTCGTATTTTGCCAAGCAAGTAAGCTCTTATCATGCACTTCCAACTTACCAAACAAAGTTGTAAGATCAAGCGACTTAAGATAATTTGCTTCTTTAATAGCGGTGACCTTTGGTTGCCATTCCCTACTTAAATACCTCAAAACTTTTTTAGTAGCAAGTTCATTGGAAATAAGATTTTATAGCGCACTTAACCGATTTATAAGATGAGTGAACCGTTTTCGCATATCTGCAATGGTTTCACCATGCTCAATACGAAATAGCTTAAAATCTTGATTCAATGTGTTGATCCTAGATTGTTTGACATCATTAGTACCATCATGAGCAATCTCTAATGCGTCCCACATAGCTTTGGCGGTCTCACAATGAGAAACGCAATAAAAATCATCAACTCTCAAGGCGGAAGTGAGAATATTTTTCGCTTTCCAATCATGTGACCATAACTTCCTATCATTATCATCCCATCATGCTTTCGGTTTAGGTATTGTGACATCATTTTCATTGGTCATAATTATTTCATTTGGACCATTTTGAATAGTATCCCAAATACCTTTGACAGCGGAGTTGACATGAATACGCATAAGTGTTTTTCAATAGCCACAATTTCCTCCGGTGAAATTTGGTGCTCTATTGTACACACCCATAGGTTCAGTAGCCATTCTTCTAAGAAATGTATCTCAATCACATAATGAAATAAATAGGCTTCGATCTAGAGGGTGGGTGAATAGATCACAAATTTTACAACAAAAAACCTTTGGCAAAAATCTGTTTTTAAAATATGGCGCAGTGGAAAAACGAACCGGATCGAATCGTCTAACCGAACCTACTATCGAAAAGAAATATACGTATCACAAACCAAACAGAGTGATAAAGAACGTAAATGTTCAATAATGATCAATCTATGAATCAATTAAATGCAATGCTAATTGTAACTTGTATATCCAATGAACCAAAACACAATCAAAATACACACAAACAATTTATCAAACACTTGATGTGCAATCGATAAAAATTGGAAATTAGTTTGTTTTGTTGATGTTAAAAACCTACCACAATCAAAGTGATTGTTATTATATCAACAACACCTTTAAAAGATAGTAGAAAACAATTTCCAATCGAATTGATCAAACAACGGTGAACTCGATAAATTGTGTAATTAATAATAAAAGAGGTGAAGAGAGAGAGAGAGAGAGAGAGAGAGAGAGAGAGAGAGAGAGAGAGAGAGAGAGAGAGAGAGAGAGAGAGAGAGAGAGAGAGAGAGAGAGAGAGAGAGAGAGAGAGAGAAAGAGAGAGAGGCCAAGATTTGTTTAGGCAGTTCTCCAATCAGCCTTGCTATGGGTACGCCTGTCGTCAATACCAAATCGAATTGAGATAGTGATATTAATCTTTTTTTTGGAAAATTGTTTATAAAAGAGATGAGGAATGCAAATCCCAAAAACCCTATTATTTTGTGTTGATTCTTCCACCTCCAACCCTTGATCAAAGCTTGATCAAGTGACCAACAATGCGGCTACAATCCTCCGATTATTCCGAGCGCACAACTTGTTGAAACACAAGATTCCCAAACACAATTCACCGTCTCGCGCTACTCCCTTGCAAGGAAACCACCCTGACCCAAGGCTATCACTCGGTCGAATCTGTGTTGACATGATCTTGTCAAAAACCTTCAAATCAACCTGATCTTGAAGGAAAACCTCACCTTGATTTTTTTATTTGAAATACACAAAACCCCCAACCCAATATTCTTGGTTACACCAAACCTAATTGGACGTTATCAAGGTTAATCTAGATGGTCACCCAATCAAAAAATGAATATGTTTAGTTCAATTGTGTGTATGCATAGAAGAAGGGATGAAGATGATGGGAAACTTTGTGATCTGGTTTTGTTTAGGTTTTATTCATTAGGAAACCTTATCTAGAAAAAAATGCATGTATGAGTATACATAGGCGTGTGAAGAAAATGAGCAAAAGGATGCAAGAAAAATAAGATGCAAAAATAATTTTTCAAGTTTTAACTTGCATAGGTCGGCCTATGAAAGTTATAGGTCGGCTTATGAAGGTGCTTAGGCCGGCCTGTGAGGCGACCTAACATGCGACCTGTGGGCAGAATCTACAAGCTTCATTCATGGAGCGTGGGAGTCGGCCTGACACACAAAAATTATTTTTGGTGTGTATGACATGCCTAAGACAAGTAAAACTTATTTAGTGACTCTTTTTATGCATCCTAAGGCTAAGGGGACAAATGAGTATCCAAACGTAGGTTGATACCGTCCAATATACAAAAGAGCTACGATGTAGTATACTACCTTGTCCCTTGTTTGACATAATTCAAAATCCGATTTAATTTGCAGTTAGCAATACTTAGCACTCACACGGACAACCCCTCAATGGGTGAATAAATGGTGTTTATGGTGATACATTTGCGTACTCTCTTTTTACACATACAGAGATGCATCTCCGAATTATATTTTAACGTAAAAGAGATGTCACTTCAATATGGTATGAGAGATGACTAAAATTGGTGCGTCCGGAGATGCATTTTCGGACGCTAGGGACATTATGGACTTTTCATGGTGGTGTGGGATGACACGTAAGGGTGGGAAGAGTATTGCCCTTGTTTTTATTTCTGCATTCCTGGTTTATCAATTGGGTCAGTTTGATTGGGCTATTAATGGCGCTATAGTAGAAAATACCTTATTTGAAGACGGTGATGGTGCAATACAAACAGAAACTTAGGGAATTACTTTTTCCACCCTTATATGTGTTCCCTTACCTTTGTAAAAATTCACAAATTCCCTTAGCGTCTGGAGATGCATATTCAGACGCATCTATTTTTAGATGAAATTGATTGGGCACCCCTATTATGCCAAAATTTAATCTGGAGATGCATCTCTGAATACACTATTTATTCAAAAGTTAGTGGGTAGTCAAGAGATGCATCTCTGAATGCTTTCGTTACATATTTTCGCACTGCATCTTTGGACGCTTTTGTTTCATATGCTCACATCAGGCCTTCCCTTTTTCTCCTTCTTCATTTTTTAAAAACATCTCAAAATAAAACATTTGAGCACTTACACATTCAAGCATCTCATGCATTCATTAAAATTTCTACCATTAGAGCTCCTGCTTCTTTTTTTCAACATCTCACACATTCAAACTTCTTCTCCTTCTCCTTCTCATCAATCTTAATTTGTAAGTTTTTCCAACAAATTTCTCTTTCTATGTTTTGATTTGTAGTTGATTGTTTAAGTTACATTAGTTGTTTTAGATACATTAGATAGTAGTGTAACGAAATTAGTAGCCTACAAGAACATGCATTGACAGATTTTCAGACAAATATTATGTATTGTGTTGCAGTTATGAATTAATGTATGATTTTTTTACTTTCATTTATCTTTAATTAAATTTGATTTTAGTGTGATTTTACTTTGATTTTATGTTATTTTAACTTGGCCTCAAAAAATTATAATGTTGAAACAATGATGCTGTTCTATAAAAGGATTTCATGAGACTGAACTATGAATCTCCAAATACACCCAAATATTATATGGAAATGTATCTCCAGATACATTCAAATATTATATGAAGATGTATCTCCAATTTATATTTTGATCAAAATGGAGGTGAAATTGAGAATAACGCATTTAGGTGTAATTTAAATATGTCCGAAAAAGCATCTCCAAATGTTTTCTTTAAGTGTCTAAAATATACATAAGGATGTCATGAGCATTTTCAAATACTTATTCAATGGTTGCCGCTTTTGGTCGTTGGTTACATTATTATATTATTTGAACCAGGAACTGGTTTCTGGATGAGTGGCTCTTGGAGAAGCATCTGGAACTCCTAAATAAAATTACCAATCATTTATTCCATCAATGATAGTCATTCAATTTCTTTAAAAACTGTAATTCTAAAATGTTACAACTCTAATTGTAAAAAGAATGCAAAGCATTTGTTACATGATAAAATGGAGATTCGATCTGCAGTTCTTCACTTCACCAAAACTAAGTGTTGGCTTAACTGTTAGGCTTATTGAACAAAAATAAAAAATAAAGTTCATTTTGTGTATTCCTTTGATAAATGATCTAGAACTCTCACATTCTGCAGCTATAAACTTGAACGTAATTTAGTAATTTACAACAAGCATATGTGTTTATATTCATCTATTAACATTTGGCAACACATTGATGTCTCTAGGATCTAACTAAGCCACTCATTTATCCTACCCTCCTGATGATTTACACTTACAATTGGAGTGCGAAAATGGAGGCATTGTCGCATTTGATCAATCAATATTCTGCTGACGAAAACAGCATAGTGAGGATTCTTAACAAAAACATTCTCCACGCAGTAACCTCCCGGTCCAAAGTTCCTTTGAACATTGATTTATCTTTTGTAGTCAACCAGTCAGGTATTGATCTTTGTACCGGGTTCTTCATTCACGTATTGTCTCTCGCACACACAAGAGCTGGGAAATTCTTGATAGTCACGTCCAGGTCTCATCTCATCTGGCTCTCCCAAGAATCCTCTTTGGCATGCCTTAACTTTTTTGGAGAAGGTATGCCAATCCATCTGATGCCTTCCGGCAAAAAGCGTGCTAAGCTTCTTTGCATTCGGTCTGATTGTTCTTTTGTGACCCATATATCTCCTATTAGTAACAAAAGAAAGTTTAACAGGTTAACAAAAAGTAAAAGATTGAGGAAAAAACTGTAGGCAGTAAAAGTGATTAATACTATATAACACACAAAAGCACTTTTGCATGACAACTTAGAAGACCCTACTTTTGCATCAAGTTTGGAATTTTTTGTTTATAAAAGGAGCCAATCCATATTCCATACACAAGCTCTACATAAACCCTGTAACAAGTTATACTTTTCATACAAGAATTTTTTTTCAGAAACCCCATGTAACAAGTTATACTTTTTATAGAATTTTTGCTTTAGCCAAAGAAAAAACAAGTTAACTCATAACACTTATAAATGAAGAATTTGAAAAAGAATGGTTAATAAGGAAATATATATATCCTGAATTATTGATTATTGGGAAACAAATTGACTTAAGATTAGTACATTAATGCTTAAATTCTACAATTTGAATCTTAGGAAAGTAGTTGTATATTCTTACCTTCGACCTGCAAGAATCTTGGCCATGTTGCCATTGTTGTTGGTGACAAATACATCACTTTCATCACAAACAATGTAGTCTATAGCAGCAAGACGGGATGAGAATGGAAGGAAAGGTTTCAGCTCTTCATCAGCAAGCATTTCTTTTGTATAGATGTTGGGGAAAAGATCTTTGAGAGGCTGCATAGTCTCGTCCCCTCCGTATATTTCTCCCGACGCAACATAGAGGTATGTGTCATTTGTAAAGCCAAGTGCGCGCAACATCAAACCCACTTCATGAGGAGTAAGAGGACATTTCCCTCGCTTACGTTCTCCATCTGCACTCAAATCCTGTTTTATCACGAGGCAACAATTCATTCATTTCGTATCAACATAAAAATAAATCAGATTCAGACTTAAGCAGTATTACATAGCAACATAATTTGTACTTAGAAAGTTAATGGATTGTGGTCTTACAGGTAATGTTGTCCACCTTTTTCTGATTTCACCAAGCTCGTTTCTTTCTTTATCTCCCCCACCAAAATAACAACTGGAAAATGCTAGCATATCTGGTTCAAACCTACGATAAATCAAATATTGAACGAGGTTGTTAGTGGTAATTACCATGGATCCTCCTCACATCCTAAACTCTTGCCATCTATTCCATTTCAAACTTTGGAATGAAACAAGTTGTTAATAACATATTAGTTTTATTGAGTTGCACGAGAAAGATGATTTCGAGGTTCCCTTCCGATGCACCACAAACCCAAAGTATAACTAAACAAACACTTCCTAAATTTTGCATTTATTCACACTATTAAAATGCCTTTCAATTTCAAAACATTGTAAAGAAGTTGTGAAGACAAACCTCAAATGGACTGCTATGAACTGACGTGCCATCTTTTGCATTCTCATAACAATTGTTTGACCAAGTTCTTGTATAGGTTTTGTGAATCTCAAAGCATGATAATTAACACGGCATCTTAGTTTTTGCAGCTCGTCGTCAAGGTGATTAGCAAGTCTAAAGTCAAACTTTGTCAATTGTACAACCTGCGACATCTCCTAAACGTTAGTTACTAAATCACCTTACCACACCCAAATTCATAGAAACACTGCAAATTGACAAAAACCAATTACTTAAGTTTCATAAATATTATTTAATGAATCAAAACATCCATTAAAATACAAAATAAAAATCAGGGAAGTGGCGCCACACCTGTCGTCTCAAAAGTATCGGCAAAACTTGATCAAGATAATAATCAGGCTCTGATTTCCTTGGGACACGCATTGTATATGGGGGTTTTTCCATTGACCTCATCACCTTATCAGGAACTCTTTTGACAATAGTAACGTCTTTTGCAAGATAAGAAATGAACCAATCAACATCGAAAATATTGATAAAGTCACTGCATTCAAATTTCAAACAAGAGTATGCTTATTAAACGAAGCACTTGAACTTGATTCTTATAAAAACTGCATGATAGAATCTGCAGATTACCTGTCATCCTTCCAATACGAATGATGATCCAACTCAGGTACAACCAGTGTAGCATTAAGAATCCGTGCAACAACTACAGCATCTGTTATCTGAATGAAGAATCAATCACAATTGTCACTTACACGGAAAAAACTTATACATTATTATTAAAAATAACTTAATTTATCTGCATGACTATGCAAGAGAACCTAAGGAAAAGCCCCATATTCACAGAAAACAACTGAATCAGAGCCAACTTAAATAACACAAAAGTGTATAAAGCTCTCATCTTTTTCTGTTAATCTATAAGGGAGCAACAGAGATGGCAAATCCTAAACAAAATTCTCATTTCAGGACCTAGCATGTTACGAAACTTGTGTCCTACTTACCCCGGTTCTTTGTTGATTCAATCCTCCACTAGCTGCAATAAGCAAGTAGCCATTTGACATCTGCTCAGGCACAGCAGCTATATTATCCGGTTGTGAAAATAAGAAAGTTAGCAATGGAAAAATTAGTATAATACTCAACTCATTCTTAAAAAGACCATCAGTTCACAAACAAATCAAAATACAAAACGGAGGCTCTTAAGTCTATTCACAAGTTCACTAACACAACACACCACAAATAAAACATGCCATAAAGTATAAACCGGATTTTCAGCACACCTTCACTGTATAAAAAAAGGGCTTAGCTAAAAAATTATTTCAAAAACAATATTTGTTTCACTTGCACTCATACCTTTTTTGGATAAACTGTTTTCACAAGTTCTCCCAATTAGTCTCACATGTGCTTATATATATCAGTAGACAAGCTCAAATAAGTTAATTCAAACAAACCCTCAATACATACATATTTAGAATTATAGTATGTTTACATCGTCATCCATGCCTTAAATGCATTTCAAAAGCTACGGAAAAAAAACACAATCACTTAACCTGTTAGCCAATGCAACAAACTAACTATGAAAATAAACAGAAATGTAATTCACACTCACAAATAAAACAACACATTTAGAACTTAATCAAAGAAGAAACTCACGAGCATAATCGCGCCCTCGGTCACTACACCCATAGTAATATTTAGACAATTTAGATTTCCAAATATCAATTGGCGCACGGTAATTCCCATCCTAAAAAAGGAAAACAATCAATAAACTCTCAAATTAACCAATCAAAATCACGCATTTATGATTAACACTAAACAGGAAAGTAATAAAAAAAAAAAAAAAGATGATTCATAATACCAATCTAGAGTAGAAATTAGGATGAACCAATCGATGAGAGTACCATTCGAGATCAGAAAGCATGTGACCAGTAAAAAGAGAAATCAAACCCAAAATGAAAAGCATGAAACCACAAACGAGAGACCAAGAGATCGTGATTGTTTTCCTTTGTTGTTGAGAACAAACATGTTTCTTTTTGTTGTTTGGTAACAGAGCTAGGTTCGTCGATAACATTCCTAAACTCCAAGCCTTCCCCACACTCACACCCATTTTGAGCTTCGGAGGAAATTAGCTTCGGAGTTAGGTTAGGGTAACATACACAAACCCAAACCCAAACCCAAAACCAAAACCCTCATGGATCGTTTATAGTAATGTAGGAAGTGATTAGTGAGGGATTAATTAATAACTAGCAGTTATTAGTGGTAATGTGGGAAGACGAACCCTAATTAGTATGAAGATGAATTGTGGAGTGTAGAAAGGAACAGTTGTACTATGTTGTTGCTCCGTTTGGTTTGATTTGGTTTGTTTTGTTGCTGTTGTTGTTGAGATGGGAGTGAAGGGGATATGGAGAAAGGTAACAACACAACAAACAATAGTCCTTTCCTATAAAGGCAAATATTTATTTTTTGCTTTTTCTTTCTTTATTTATTTTAATGTTATTTTGTTTTTTTCAACAAGAAAGAAAGAATGATTCTGATTTAAGGTTTTTGTACGCTAGTTAAAAAATATAATAAAATATTGTTTTAAGATATTTTATTTTTAAAAAAATACAATTGAAAAAATTATAACCATTACTATATCATTTAAAATTTTAATAGAGTGCAAATTAAATTTTTTAATTTGAACCGATGATATTGTTTTTGTTAGGTAGTGGTGGTGTCTAAGATAAGATGGAAAATGTAGTTTTGGTTGTTAATAGTGGTAATGTGGGGTGAGGTGAGAATAGTAAGAGTATGAATGGGGTAACGTGCGATCTGAATGGGAAGAATATACTAGAAGTGGAAGTGGGAGGATACATCACATTAGATAGCATAAAACTTTGAATTTTTCACCCAAATAACCATCTTTACACACAAATATTTCCAATATACCCAACTTTCCAATATATTTTCCAATCTACCCTACTTTTGGATTTTTTTTATATTTTTTTACAAGGGGGCGCCATGGGGGTTGGAGCCTCCCTTATAATTTGTATGGGGGCGCCATGGGGGTTGGAGCCTCCTTACAAATTATAAAGGGGGCGCCATACCCATTGGAGCCTCCCTTAAACGAAAATTAAAAATTATTTTTAATGTTTAATTAATTTAAAAATATTTAATAAATAATTTTTAATAAATTAAAATTTTTTTAAAAATAATAATTTTGTAAATAATAATTTCTGAATAATTTTTAACAATTCATATTTTAATATTGAAATTATTTCATATTTTTAACAATTTATAAATAAATAATAATTAATATTTTCATTAATAAATTCTAAACAACAAATAAAAATTAATTTGGATTAAATAAATTTAATCACATACAAATGACTACATTTGAAAGATCTTGTACACTAATTTCTACGACTTGGTCGATTTAAATGTCCGTCCGTACCGCATCTTCGATTACGCACGTTTCTTGGTGGTCTTTGTGGTGGAGTCGGGTCCACTGTGTCATCATCAAGCATTTGCATCACTTTGGCCCATGCATCACTTTAAATGTTTAATTAATTTGTATGTGATTAAATTTATTTAATCCAAATTAATTTTTATTTGTTGTTTAGAATTTATTAATGAAAATATTAATTATTATTTATTTATAAATTGTTAAAAATATGAAACAATTTCAATATTATAAAATATGAATTGTTAAAAATTATTCAGAAATTATTATTTACAAAATTATTATTTTTAAAAAAATTTTAATTTATTAAAAATTATTTATTAAATATTTTTAAATTAATTAAACATTAAAAATAATTTTTAATTTTCGTTTAAGGGAGGCTCCAATGGGTATGGCGCCCCCTTTATAATTTGTAGGGAGGCTCCAACCCCCATGGCGCCCCCATACAAATTATAAGGGAGGCTCCAACCCCTATGGCGCCCCCTTGTAAAAAAAAATAAAAAAAATCCAAAAGTAGGGTAGATTGGAGAATATATTGGAAAGTTGGGTATATTAGAAATATTTGTGTGTAAACATGGTTATTTGGGTGAAAAATTCTAAAACTTTATGGAAAATAGTAACGTGTGTTGTAATTAAGACCATAAACTGAATTAGAGATATATTCTGTAATCTTTTAGTAGCATGTAGAGACAAGTTAATATAAGTTCAACTTTATTTATTCGAGCTGAAGATGGGAGAGAATAATTGCCCCAAGCCGGATATAGTGCCGACTTCGTTAATACTAGAAATAGTACAATAATGGGAATTGTTTGTGGGGTTTAAAGAGTGATTATGGGGTGTGAAAAACAAAGTTGGCAGACAAATGTCACCCTCCAAGTATGACAACCGCTTATAGGGAAAATAACTAACATGCGTAGCTGCCTTTCGAGGGTAGGTTTATTTAATATACTATTCTCTCCAAATAATAATGCTCTAATTTTATTATTTATTTTTTCTTACAAGGCAATAAAAATGAAAGAAAGAGAAATTAAAATAATGCTTTCAAGAAATTAATGGTTATACACCCGTCCATATAAAAAATTTACATTCTCAATACATCAAATTATCTGTTTGTATTATATTTTAAACGGTTAAAATTAAAATTAAAATTTTTAATTTTAATAAATTAGTAGTTATGAGTAATTGATAATGTAAAAAAAATTAACTGTCAATTAAATTTTTTTTAATAGTTATTTATAAAAATTATTTTTGTGATATATATATTTTTTTAATATTATTATTTTATTTTTAATAATAATATATATTTATATATAGGGCTGTCAAAATAAATTATCTAACCCTAAATGAATCGGAAAAGTTTTACCCCATGCCCTTATACGCACACCCCTACACTAAAAAATATTGGACCAAAATATCCTTAGTTAAATATCTATAATCTTACATTTTTATATTTTTCACTTCCATTTTTCACTTTCTATTTTAAGACTTCCAGAAGCTCTCAAATTTTGTTACGAATCGGAACTTCACACAAACACTTCCGGAACACATTTCAGTTGCAATACATACCGGAACACTAAGAGTAAGTCTTCTGGTTTGTATTTTGTTTTTGCTTCTTCACCGGAACTCTTTCATGAAGACTTCCGGTTCACAAACTTTTGAGTTTGTTCACCGGAACTCTTTCTTGAAGACTTCCGGTTCAGAAAAAATTTTAGTTTAGTCACCGGAAGTCTTTCCTAAAGACATCCGGTTCACTCAATGTTTCGTTTCATCTTCGGAAGTCTTTCTTGAAGACTTCCGGTTCATTGTTTTTTTTAATTTTTAATTATATTGATTTTTTTTAGTGGTGCGCACAAGAGGCAGAGACGGTAGGATCCCTCGTGGACTAGGACGGGGCGAGTCATGGAGGATGGCTGAAGAAGAGCATTTTGATGCATCTGCATCAGCATCCAAGCCGGTTGGATATCCCGGAGGACCGTATGATACGTCTCTGTTAGTTAAATACGAACAACATGTTGCATACCGTATATGGTTCGGTGAGGTAAGTAAACGAAAATTATTTAATATTGAATAGAATTTGAATTTTTAATATTGAATTTTATAATATTTTTACTTTTAATTTTTTTCAGGAGAGATGGTCGAAGAAAAAGTTAAAGGTGGCGGGACATGGGTTAAAGTTGACTGATCAGTGCATTTTGATGCACGTTCTTCCATGTTTGTACTCAAGCATTTCTTTGATTTTATTTATTTATTTTTATGTTTTAACGTGTTTTTATATTTTATTTTATTTTTGTATTTAATTGTTTTTCGTATTTATTTTTCAGCTTTAGCAGTTTTCGCGAGAAAAATCATAACTGGAGTTCCGGGAGTCCGTTTGAGGCGTTCTAAAAATCGCTGGAAAGCTAAGAGAGAGAGCTACGACTTTCGTGTTGGAGTCAAAGTCAGATTCGGAGCCCAAAATTTCAGAATTTCGTTTGAAGTTGCAGCATTAGGATATTGTTTTAGTTTTGGGTCATGTTTTGGGCCTGAGTTATATTTTTGACCCAGTTGGATTTTGAACCGGATCCATTGTTTGCCTTTTTAAGGAGAACTCGTGTTATTGTTCATATTATTCACATTTCACGAAAAAATTGATGTTGAAGAGAACAATGGAGAACTAATCACTCTGAGTCGGTCTACTGTAATTCAGGTTCAAACACTTGAGATTATTATAATATTATTATCTGTTTAATTTCGTTCAATGATTTTGTACTCTTGTATGCTTAACTCAATTGTATGAAATATATTGATTTGATTTGGTTGATTGTATGATCCTAACATAGACACTGTTACGTTTGCTTAATTCGTTTTTGTGTCTGAATAATCATGTTTGCTTAATTCATGAAGCTTTTTACCGTTTGCTTAATTCGGACAATAGGATCATATATCTCGCAATCCTTATCGTGCTTGCCGTTAAGCTTGTATCCAAATAGGAATGAACGCGTAGAATATTAATATTATAGTAATCGATGATAGTAGGAACCGAATCGGTAGATTGATTTATTTCATAATCACTTTTTTACAACAGCTTATTTTAATAATCATTTTTTTTGAATCAGAAACCAAACCAACCCCCTCTATTACGATTTCAGTGGATTAATTACAAACAAGAATCCTTGAGACGATATCCGAGTTTAATTGTCGATGTACTGCATTTTTACAAAAATTACTCGTTTTTGATCCGCGAGCGACCGCGGATCATTGACTCAGAGGGTTCCACTACAGTTACCCAGAGAGATGGAGAGCTGGATATTTAGGTCTGGTCTAGCTTCACTTCAGAGAACCAGTTTAACAAAGATAGACACAAACCTAGTTTCCGCTTTTGCAGAGAGGTGGCATCTAGAGACATCTTCATTTCACATGTCGTTTGGTGAGATGACGATTACTCTAGATGACGTATATTGCTTGCTTCAATTGCCCATCAGGGGAGTCTTCTGGAACCCTCAAGATATCAGTGAAGCGCTTGCTGTTGAGTGGGTTGTTGATTATTTGGGAGTGTCACAGAGAATAGCACAACAACAAGTCTGTGAGTGCAGGGGTTCCTATTATAAGCTGGAGTGGTTATATGATCGGTTCGTAGAGCACAGAGCTGCATCTCGATGGGATTATGCCACTAGAGCTTATTTGCT